TCTATATATTGTTTGAATTGTCGTATTCATATAAGAATATCCATCACTTTTATGGCGCTGTATTTACATATCATTTAAATATCAAAATGCTTACGCACTTTGTCTGTATGCTGATAATTTTCTATTGATCTTTACCTAGTTAAGAAGGTCAAACAGGGGACAAGTCATTAAGTAAATCCTGTAGAAAATATAGGAAAAGGTTTAACATTAGGGAGATATTTTAATGATCAGTGATAACTTTATGATTTTATTAGTCGGCTGCGAATCAGCCAAGTCTTTTTATTAGAAAGTCGCATGATTTACTGCGGAATGACACGATTAATTTTGCGAGCATTAATACTGCATATGCTTTTGGTACCCATTTTCTTTTTTAAATTTTTTTGCAAAACTTGTTATTAAATTTTTTTCCATTCGACGAATAATATTTTCTTATCTCCGATACAAATAATCAACTGCTCATCAGGTTGATTTCCTATAATGAGGTAGCTTTTTCAGACTTCATAATATGGAACAAGTCTTAAAAGCATTTTGATGGCTTCAAACACGTTGTCCATCTATTTAAAGGGGTACTGTTTTGCATTGGACAAAACTTATTCAGCGTTGGGATCGTATATGGTTATAGTATATTCCAAATCGTTGTAATTTCAATTGCTCTACTTATTTTCCCCTCGCTATTACTCGCACATAGGTATTTTTCAAATTCACACCCGCGTTAAAAAAGATACACAGCGAATAAAGAAATTGGAAGAAACCACTGCGCTGAATACCAGTGCGACGTTACTGAAGTTAGCTATGTGTGAGAACGCCTCCCCTTTAACACTATTCTAAAATAGAGTTTGGCCAATTTAAAATTTATAAATAATATGACCCGATGCGGTTGTTTTAAAAAGTTTATTTAGAGAAAAACAAGTTGAAAATTGAATTTAGTGTAAGAAGGAAAGGGACAACTAAACACTCTGATTATGGTACATGTAAAAGTGACTCGAGATACTCTGACAGGCCAGTGTTGGAACTTTTTATATGAATACGATTTCCGCAAAATAAAAGGACGCCGGAGAAATTCACTCGCTTGACGACGACGACAACAATAACAATCAAAGCACTGAATGTACTGATGGGGAGGCTATAACAGAATGTTTCAGACTTACAGTTTCGTTTCTTTTTGCTTAAAATATGCTGTAATTTCAATTATTACCAAAGTAAGAAGATCGTTCCATTGCGAGATTTATCCTTACTGTTGTGTTCAACCATTCATATATATGGTTAATATGGTGGACTATTCATTTTGTTAAAATTTGAGGTCTACATTCGGACTGTTAATCATGCAATATTGAAGAACTAAACCGCCATTAATAAATGACATACCAGCAAGTGTGACGACTGTTATTATTATAAGATAACAATACCATTTTACAACTGACGGTTCCTTTACAAAATATTCTAGGACTGTTCATCATAAATACTTTATGTCATTTAAATATCATTGAATGATTATAACAACTCCAAGTTATGCGTCATTTTTATTGAACATAAAAATTGTACATTTTTACATGTACCATACTTGAGATCAATAAAGATACTGTCTTGTAGGCAACTGTCTTGTGATGAGTATTAATATTCATGCTCTACGAACAGAAAGTTGTCTTCTCCAATAAAATCACGTTTCAGAAAATAATTCCCATTTCGTCGCTGACTAAATATTTTTTGAAAAATACGTATCTACAAAGCTTAATCAAAATTGAATCAACCTAAGTGAAAATTGATCAGGAAGTTATATCTTGTTTTTTACCGCAAACACTCAACCAACTTATGCTAGTTTATCCTCACTAGCTTAAAATATGTACTGCAGAAAATCTGTTGTTAACAGGGTTTGCGGGTGTTATCCATGTCAAATAGATGAGAAATATAATGCCGCCGATTATTTTTAGAACACAAACATATAAGTTTTTTTTTATTTATTCAAATTAACATTAATCACTTCAGCGGGTGCAAATATCGTTTCAAATTAAAGTTTTGTAAAATATGTTGATGAATTCCCGATGCTCGACTGTAAGTCATTCGTATTTACATGCGTTTTACTTTGTTTTTGTTTTTTAAAGCTTCTCATTCTTAAATATTTTTTTATGTATCTGTATTGAAAATTTAAATTTTATTACACATGGACTATCACATTATGATGCGTTGTCCTAGAATTGAATAAACTTTCTTATTGCACAAAACGTGGTCATTCATTTGATTGAAGACTGATATTTGCGTCTTTCTCTGAAAAATTTATTTCCTTGTTAAAACAGATTAGACCACATTTTTACTTGTCATTTAACTGTTCACTATACTTCCGATTTTTGTTGTACCGAAACACATGTTTTTTTTGTGTTTTCTAATCAATTCGAATCTATAATCAGTTTAATGAGATCACCACCGGTTAAACGACTATTAGGTTTCTTGGTCATGTTTTTTACTCCAAATATTTGAATGTTTCTATTGGGATAAAACTGAGCGTAGTTAACTAAACAAGTAGTTGTATAGATCCCTGACCTGTCTAATTCTAATTATGAGATTAGTGAATACATTACGACTTTCACCACAACATATTCCTAAACAAAAGAGCACATGTTTGAATTTATTCTCATTCAAATAAAAGATCAGAGTAGGGATCTATCAATTGCCAGACATATTTTTAAAAGATACTTTTATGTTAAAAGTTTGATTGATAAAGTATTTGAGATGAAATTATAAGTATTGTTTTGTTTTATTTTGCCCATACAAAATGTATTCTTGTGCTGAAATTTTGTCGGAGGATCATTACGGGTTTTGTAGTTAAATAGTGTTTTTTCCGGCGATAATGGTTTAAGAATATATTAATGTTTTCAAATTATATGTTAATCACCATCAGTAAATTCTTAGTAAAATGTATGCAAAATATTTACTAACAGCTATATGATACAGCGGTTTATGAGCATTTTCCGCGTACAGCCTCCTTGGGTGTACTAATAAGTTAGTTTTCCATAGTTATCACGCAAGCATTATCCATGTCTCTGATGTAGTTTACCATTATTTGTCCTTTTTTTAAATCTTAAGGACTATTAATGGTTTATAACAACAAAAGAACATACATGATATTGAGAATACGGTGTTGCAACGTTCTTGTTAATGACCCGTCATAAACAGTTGGTCGCTGCGTAGTAATTGGAAAATTGTTTTCAAAAATAAAAACAATAGTTTGCACAATAATTCAAACATTTATTCAAATGTTTTGTTGAGAATTATGAACTTGACAAACAGCAAGTATGATGGTTAAGAATGAACACATGTTTTATCTTGTAAATGTCTGTGACAAGTGATGAATCAGCTTTAAAATATCATTGTACTATTTTTTTGACCTGATTACCACTGCAGTAAGATTTGATGAACGGTCATAACATAGCCTCCCGAAAAAGAAGACGAAGAAGTAAAAAAAAAAACATCATTAGTTATACAAGATATAACTAGAACGCCATAATTTGCCGATGAATTTAGGGATCTAATATATTCATGCTAATTTAGTATTTGAAGCGAAGTCAAAATACTTTTATCACATTTTGCTACTTTTATGACAGAACATTTCACATCACAACTTTCTTCAGTTAACATTTGACTTAACCCATTCCTTCGCAACCATTTAAGCTTGCGTAAAACCTCACTTGTATCACATTTTAATATAAAAAACAAATTAAGTCAGTAATACCTACACTCTTAAAGAAATATAAAATAGAGTGATAAATAACATCATGTCTCTTAAGGATTTACAGGCCAAAAGAAGAACAAGAAACAATTTTACAATTGTAGCTAACTTTCTGCAATACTTCTGACAGGGACAATTAAAACAAATTAATTATAATAAGCATAGGAAAGTACTTACATTTGAATAATTTATATTCAAGTTTTGTTTCAAATAATTCCAACTTTGTGTAAATCTATTACGCATTGTTCAACGGCAATTAAACTAGAATCATAATGCTGGATATTGAAAAAAACACAACCAATCAGTGTATATCTTTAGAAGTAGCAGGTGACTATTTTATTATATATTTTTGTATCTAAACACAGAGCATAATTTATATAATATACGAATGTTACAACCTCAATAAAAGATGTTACTCCTGTATCAGAGATAACGTATCATGTCTAATCCACTTCAGAATCTCCCACTGCTTTTTTCTGAATTCTTGATTATTTGAATACAGTTTTCAAAAGTACCTAATAAGCAACATCAATAAATTGTTTTGTAACATTGATATTTAAAGGTATGACAAACGCAAAGTATTGTGTAAATAAAGGCGTGTGTTCAAGTTTGAGATTAATATTGCTTCAAATAATGCCACCTTAATACTCTGATCTTTAAAGCAATTCAACAAAGTTCTGAAAATTTACTATACGCATGATTTATTGATAAATATATTCCAAATACGATGATATCGTATGATATATAATAAACAGTGTAAATTATAAATGTGAATGAAACTATGTAAGTACATTTGCCAGATTAGTTGCGTGCTCAAAACTAGCGTCATTTTGGCCTTTTTCAAGAATGAAACAGCGTTTTAATATGGATGAAATTGTTCCCACGCTACTGTTAGAAAATTAATTTCATGATCAATTAAGTAATAGATGTAAACCATTTAAGATATAAAAGGATAAGGTAGAATTTGCAAGAAAAATATCTGACATGTGTTTACAGGTCAGATCGGAAAATCCGTCCGGAGGATCCCCGAAATCTGGATGGTAATGAGCCTTGCCCAACTGCAAAACATGACAGATATGACCAGTCTAAGCAGGTTTTACTGTATAAATTCCTAAGAATACGAATTATCAAAATCAAAATGAAAAAAAAAAAAATAACAACAACAACAACAAACAAAGAATACACTTGAAAAAACAAAACAAATATTAATACAGTATTAAATGTAGTAAAATATAAAAAATGCAACTACATTTAAATAACTAGAATAGCAACAGTTCACTACAAATTAATCAATGTTTTATATCAACAATAAAAAATTCAAAGAAGAAAATATAGAATTTAGTCAAATTTATTTCTAAGCTAATTTAAAAAGTTGAATGTGTAAAGGCTCAACGGCTCTTATGTATGTGTTATTTTAACTGCAGTCCGCCCACATAGCCAAGTATATGGAGAACATCGAATTAGTTATTAAGGTGACAATTGAATTCAGTCATTTGTTTCCCCACCACTGGTTATCATATGGGATTAATAGTCTATTTATCTATACCCCTCGCGGGGACGTAGACATGTAACTCGGTCACTTGACGGGAAGAAAAACTGGTAAGATAAATATGTTCTTCTTCAATGTGTAAAAATTGGCATTAAATCATCAAAACGAACAAACTGTACAATAGCATCAGATTTACATATATATCATTAAAAAAGATAAGCTTTCAGTGTGAACCAGCCCAAGCTATCTCTTGTCGTATTTCACCATTCCTTCTCGTATGTGAAACGTCATCCAAATAAATACTTTTGACCAGGCGTCCTCTAATGCTGAACACCAAAACTCCTCTATGTATGGTTTAATTGAATTAAGGAAAAAAGGCAGGATAAGCTGAAATACAAACATATTGATATTATATTATTATATATCATCATCAATACATATCGCGATAAGGTTCACGAGTTTGCCTTGCGTAAACAAGGAATTATTTTAAATCATTTACTTTATGTCGTTTTGGAAATGAGCTAATCATTTTTTAAATAAAATTACGGTGTTTCATTCCACCTTTTAGGGACAATTATTATCGCGTTTTATGGTGCTATTTTGTGGTCGGAATAGGACATCGTTGGTAATGAAATTGAGAGAAACGGAATCCCTTAAGAACGCAAACAAAATACAAAATTGAAAATTTAGGCTTGGTTTGACTGAGCTTGTTGATGGACGCTAGTAAAGTTCACATGAACCCCCATCCCTCCGCTCGACACCAGCACTGTAAAGTTTACTGTTTATTCATACTTATTAAAATAAAAACGCTTACCAATTTTGACTTGAAAATGCCATGAATATTTGATTATAAATAATGCAACTTTACAAAATTCCAATGAATTTCTGAGATACATTACATCTTTCATATCTGAAATTCTGTAATGGTAATATCTTAGATAATTATGTTAATACACGTTTTGTCCTCGGTAAAGCCAATAGTTATTTTGTCTGATTTTTTGTCTGATTTTATCAAGGGGCAAGACGTGAAGAGGTTGAGCACTTGGTTTAAGCATAAAAATTGGTTGCAAACTTGACAAATTAACTATCGAGTCATGAATATTTACAACAATCGCACTTAAGTACTGTAAGTGGTATTGTATGTTATTTTGAGAAAATTCAATATGCCCATTCCTCAAGGCAATGTTTATTACACACTCGGCTTTAGGTTTCAGCTTTCTTGCTACTGATTTGACGTTATTTGAGTTATTGAAGTTATAACTGGTCTTGAACATATTATGCGATTTGACAGGTGACAGTTCTGGTCGATATTTTTATTCATTTATTCACATCTTTAAATTTTGAAGTTCACCAAGCAAGACAAAATATATTTCTGTTAGTCTTGTGTAAATGTTTTAATTTGCATGTTCCAATACGCGCGAGTGTTGTATATATTCATGTATATGACTCGGTAGCCATTTTGTCAAGTTTTCAACCAATTTTCTCGCTTGAACCAAGTGTGCAATCTCTTCACGTCCTGCTCCTTGTATATAGTTAGCACCATATGCTGTGTAAATGTCTCAAAAACAGTATGTCATCATATTTATTTCCTTAAATATAACAAGAAACCACTTAAAAATCTTGCAAAAGCCGTGTACATAAATAATAATTATTGCAACATCAATAAAAGCACTACTAGTATTACAAATGTGCAGTAATATGATTGTAATATCAAGATATAAATTAGAAATAATCTATATATAGATAAGCAATAAATGAGCGTAAAACAATACCTCAAGGTAGTTGTCTGGCACCTTTGATTTAGCGTGCACCTTCCCTAACTTTGTCAATGATGGAATGACAGAAGCTGGATCATCTAAGTGAAGAACACATTTTTCTAGTGTGGCCATGACTCTTTTTGCATGTTTTCGTAGCAAACTCGTAAACCTTAAAATCTTTAAATCTTTCCCTCTGAACTGTTTGAACAAGTCTTTCAACTCCGGCTTACTTTCGAAAAGACTGAAAAATAAAGATCACGGAAGCATAAAGAGACAAAATATCATAAGTAAGACAAACGACACCATTACAGAAAAGATATCAAGTTAAAACGCTGACCAGGTACAAAAAAACATCATCCTTAATCTTAAAGATAAAACGAACTAATTTGCACGACATGTTTCTAGATAACAAATTGCCTAATTAATTCCAAGTGAGATGGAAAATCCATGACAGAATAATCGATCCGTAATTTCAAAAGGAGTTTTTTCCAGATGAAGTAATGGCAATTAAACAAGAGCAATTCGTATGTTTGAAAATATTAACCAAGCGAGAAAATACACCAGATTACGACAGACGGGATTTGTAATACACTTTAATTTCATTATTCTGAACTAACCTGATGGCTCAGTAAAAACATTTTTATCAGGAATGATATCGATTTGAATATTTTGTATACAAGATTTTTGTTTGTCACATTTAATAGGGTATAAAAGACTGTTTTAAATATGAGAAAATAAATCATCTTTTGAAAAATTAATTTGAAATATTGAACTATAATTAATGAGTTGTAAAATCGGATATGGTTTGGTTGGTTTGGTTGTGCTCTGATGTCAATCGTTTGTGTGAGGCCGTTCCACATATATCACATACTTCAGGTTATTTCATATACTAAAAGCAGTATTTTGTTGTTAAAACCATGCACATAGTGTTTTAACATCAACATTTGAAATAAATTCATATTCAATAACAACCATGGAAAGTGAGAATGCTAAGAAAAAAGTATCCATGTAATGACGTCGTGATCATGACAATTAAGTCCTTATATACACTAATAACACGTACATCATGAAAGATACAGCTTTGTTTAATTGTGTCTGAAATAGATACGAGATGCCATAAAAGGGAAATAACACAGATACATGTATATCCAGGATATTAAGAAACCGTTAAAGAAACATTAGACGTGAACAGGTTGTCCGGGTTAACGACCGCTTTCAGTCAGTGCAAATCTATATGATTGTCTCTAATCATCTTTCGGGAGTAATATTTTTTCTTTGCCTTTCTCAATCCGTTATATTCTTTTTACTGTGTCGGTAATATAAGTAAAATGATTGTGGGTCAAACCAGACTATTTTATTGTATTTAAATTTCATAACGACAACGATCTTTTTATAAAAAAAAAACATGTCCTAACGTTAAAACAACTTGTTTAAAATTATTTTTTTACTTGGAAATAACATCTGATCGTTTTAACTTGTTCAGAAAAAAATAGACCAAGGGAAGCATATTTCTGAATAAAAGAAAGTACCAGGTTTTCGTAAAAAGATACTTAATTGATCAGAATTTATAAATATTGAAATATTAGCCGTCATAACATCTGTACGACTATGAAATGCATGGAAAATGTTATTTTACTTGTTTAAAATATATGTTACCTTATGAAAGTGTTCACTCCTATATTAGCTAAATGAAGCTTTAGAACTTGCCAATTGTTTTGCAACACGGATATCTCATCCTGTGTCCATGTTGGCGGACCTTCTCTGTCATCTTCTTTTGGTTCAATTTTTCTAGAACATCGCAGTTTAATTCCATCACAAACACACCCCATAGTGTTTAAATGAAGGGAAAATATTCCTTTAGTTATAAAATATCATGTTGTATCTAATTGGTTCTCATTCGATCACAATGGTATCTAGTAAAACATACAGTATTATGTGCCAAGCAAAGGAAAACAACTTGTATGCGACACATCAGCGTCTGCTCGTTATCCAGAATTATCCAGAACTAGCATCATCATTCGAACAAAGATATTACAGCTTATTGTCTTCTCATTAAACGCTATACACTTACATAACAATAAGCCTCGATGAAAAGTTTAACATGAACACGAAAGATGCGCAAATAATCGGAAATCTACATTGGAAAACCTTCGTCTAAAAAAAATTCATTATTGGTATTTTCCGTGATTTTGCTACTTACATATTAAACCCCTGTCACACTAGGGCGACCTTCTCACGGCGTCCAAAGAAAATTCAGATCGACGAGGTGAGCGCAGTAAGATCCCAAACATCGCCGTAGCATCGCCGCTGCATCGCATATAACGCTGAAAGACGGCGCGCATTATGAGCATGCTCAACACTAAAACCCCTGTCACACTAGGGCAGCGTTCTCACGGCGTCAAAAGAAAATTCAGATCGCCGAGGTGAGCGCAGTAGGATCGCAAACAACGTCGCAGCATCGTCATAGCATCGCATAGAACGCCGACCGACGGCGCGCATTTTGAGCATGCTCAAACTAAACGCCGTCACTCGGCGTTCTGAAAAGAGCGCTGTGGGGTCGCAGTAACGACGCCGTAGCCACGGCGCTTGTACGGATAATTTGCGGCGTCTCTATCGCGTTTATACTACGTGTGTCCGGCGCTTTTACGGAGCTTTATTGTTTCTAAAACGCTCTTACTGCGACTCTACGGTACTGTCACGGCAACCATTGCGCACTCAAGACGATTGTACTGCGTTCATCTGAAACTGCAGAATACGGTACAGTAGAATCCCTTCTTAAGACCATCCCAGAATTAAGACCAACCCTCTGTTTAGACCCATTTTTTAAAAGAACCAAATTGTCCCTTTGTAATGTTAATGGTAACATGATCGACAATTAAGACTACCCAAATTATCCACATTTAAGGCCACTAGCTTTAGTCCCAATTCATTGTTTTATTTATCTAACCCCACTTTTGAGACCACTGATATTCCAGTAAATACCTATTCAGATAACAATTTCTTTTTGTTATTCATCTGCTTAATTCTCTAAAGCATGACACTTGAAACAATGTGTTAAAACTGTTATGATTAGAATATTGTATAAAGGTATAAAAATAAACTTCAGATTGGTTTAATGTTACTTTCTGCATATTTTTTGTGACGAATTAATTTCTTTATTAAAAGGTGAATTATGTTCATGAAACAAGACCTATGAAAATACAATTTATACATTAAATATCATCAGATTAATGTTCTAATTAGGATTAATAAATATTATATCATCAGTTTATAGTAATATTTGAAGGTTAAAATAAAATTGTTGCAACATGTTTATACATAATAATTCAAATAGAATGGTCACGAAATAGATATGCCTTGATAATTAATAATATCCACAGTTAAGACCATCCGCAATCAAGTCCACTTTACTGCAGTCCCTTTGGTGGTCTTAATGGAGGGTTTTCACTGTATATACAGAACGTAAATATCTTTTTAACCATTGATGATGAACGGCAGCAAGCTGGAATATTGCTTGTTTGCATGCAGGTGCAGCAGGTACACAACTATTTAGAATGAGTATTCGCTCGTATGTGAAGCACGATTTCAGCGCAGTGTGAGCGCCGCTGGAGCGCCGTGTGAGCGCTGTGAAAGTGCAGTGGAAGCACAAAGAACGCAGTAGAAGCGCAGTCGAAACGCAGAGAATCGCCAATGACAACGCCGTGAGAACGAATTGCAACGCCGTGGAAGCTTCGTAGCAACGCCATGATTGCCGTAAGGACGCCATGAAGACGCCGTGAAGTCTCCATGTCATCAAAAATATCAGATTTTCCTTGCGAGCTCGCGGCACTTTGTTAAATTTAACAACGTCGTGCAAACGCAGTGAAAGCGCAGTCTAGTGTGACAGGGCCTTTACGCCGTCACGCGGCGTTCTGATGAGATCGCAGTAAGGAGGCCGTAGCAACTCAGTAGCATCTCCTACAACGCAACTGGAGCACCGTGAAAGCGTAGAAGGATTTCGTAATGAACGCCACGGCGCTTGTACGGAGATTTGCGGCGTCTCTACTGTGCCTAAACTGCGTGTGTACGGCGCTTTAGTTTTCTTAAACGCTCTTAGTGCGACTTTACGGCACTGTCTTGGCGACCATTGCGCTCTCAAGGCGATTCTACTGCGTTCATCTGCAATTGCAGAATACAGTACAGTAGAATCCTTACTTACGACCACTCCGGAATAAAGATCCCCACTGCATTAAGACCAATTTTTAAAAGAACGGAATTTTCTGTCCTTTATGTTAATGGTAGCATGGTCCACAATTACGACAACCCAACTTGTCCATTTTTAAGACCACTAGTTCAGTTTTAGTTCCAATTCATTGTTTTATTTATCTAACCTCAGTAATTAGGTCACTGATATTTCATTCAATACCTATTCAGATCACAAGTTTGTTGTTATTCATCTGTTTGAATTCTCTAAAGCAAAACACTTAATGAAACAAGGTGTTACAACTGTTTTGATTGGAAAATTGTATAAAGGTGAAAAAATAAACTTCAAAGTGGTGTAATTTCATTTTCAGCAAATTTATTTTGTGAATAATTAATTTCTTAATAAATAGGTGAATTATGTAAATGAAACAAGACCTATAAAAATCAATCTTTAATATTGAATATCTTCAAAGTTAAGTTCTTATTAGGATTAAACATTATAACATCAGTTTATAGTAGTATTTGAAGATTATAATATAATTGTTTAAACATGTTTACACATAAAAAACAAATAGAGTGGTCATGAAATATATATGCCTTGATAATTATAGCCATAATTAAGACCATTCGCAATTAAGATCACCCTGACTGTATATATAAAACGTGTTTGCAAGTAAATGTCCATTTAGCCATGGATGATAAACGGCAGCAAGCTGGAATATTGCTTGCTTGCATGCAGTTGCAGCAGGTACACGACTATTCAGAATGAGTGATCACTGGTATATGAAGCACGAGTCAAGCGCAGTGTGAACATCGCGAGAGCGCCGTGTAAGCACAGTGGAAGAGCAAAGAACGCAATAAAAGCGCAGTCCGAACGCAGACAATCGCCAATTAAAACGCAGTAGGAACGCGTTATAACGCCGTTGAAGCTCCGTAGCAACGCTACGATCGCCGTGAAGAAGCCATGAAGTATCCATGTCCAAAAAATATCAGATGTTTCTTGCGATCTCGAGGCGCTTTGTTAAATTAAACAACGCTATGCGAACACCGTAAAAGCGCACTCTAGTGTGACAGGGCCCATAATAGCTTCCAAACCATGAAATGATTTTTTCGAGAGGAAAATTCGGGTACTGTTTTCTTTGAAATTAATTTGCGCTGTCACGCTAGGGACATTTCCGCGAATGTTTATAACCGCGAGACGACCCATATACCAAATCCGTGAACACTTGAAGCTCCAACTAACTAGATAATCATGATGCATTAAATGAAATTACCGTTATTTACGACGAAATAAGTTGTCTAAAATTAACCTTTATTTCTATGGTATAATTTGTTTGTCAGAACGTTTGATACATTTTCTATGTAAAATTTAAAAAAAAAATTTACCTAAAAAATTATAGGGTTCTATCTGTTGATTTACTGGTAAATTGGTATCTTAATATACAGAAACTACATGTAGTAATATAACCAAGTTTTTCAAGAAATACAGTAATTGAAATTAGTTTAAATTAATATGGTATAACTTAAACCAGGCCGAAAAATCCTTAAAGATGCGTTAGTCTTGCGCTTCACAAGTGCGTCCTTGCAGTTATATAAAGACGGAAAATGAATGAATTAATAAATAAGATAAACAGAAAACGTGGATGCTAGGTAAATGGTATAATACAAATAAATACTATGATGTCAAAATGTTTTGAGATAACATCAAAGTCAAAAGTATATCAGTTCATAGCAAATGGGAATCTTACCTGACATTTTTGAAAGTAACTGATTGAAGACAATGCAACCCATATACAAGCATCGATTTTTTGCAATATATCGACAAATTTATTCGTAACGGATTTTGAAGGCTATGGTCAGCATGACAAATTGTTTGTTTTCCAATATTATGCAACTAGCAACTAGCTTATTATCTTATTACCAGTTCAGTAAATAAATATTCAAAAGGCGATGCTATCTATCGACATGTTGGTCTATGTTCACCTAATGTACTGTTACTGTTATTATTTAAAGTATTCACAGGCGGGGTGATCATCTGACTAAAACGGTCTTTTCTAACTTTACTTTCTATACATCTCTTTAAATATTTTAACAATGAACTTTATTCCAGAAAGATATTTTTCAATTGGAAAGCTACATTCCTTTAAATTATACTTATTTTAATGTGCTCATTATGTGTGCATATTTATTTCTATACGGCAATATTATGATAAATGTATGCGGTATCATTGTGTTACAGTTCTGCAATAATAGAGGGAAAAGAACAAGGGCTATGTTAAAAATATGTTCCATTTTGAAATCAGCTAATATTTGCCTGGAAAAGGGTATACATATATAATTTGAATATTGAAAAATAATAACGATAAAGTAGCAAATACCTTTTAAGTCATGTGATTGGCCTTTAGCGGTAACCCAATTTAACATAATTTTTTTACCTATCTCCTGTAATCATATGATTGTCGACTTACATTGTAATATATACCGAGGGACAATAAATCGTCTGAAAACGTGTATTCGTGTATTGTAGTTATAACTATGTTATCACCTTAAATCATTATATAAGTAACTGTAGAATTATACTAAGTCTCGTATTAAGATATTGTATTTGATATGATTGGAACTTGTAATGTTAGCAGACTTGCTGATTTTGCTTACT